TGGATATTATTTTCGACTGCAAAGAAAACTATTCTCACCACGGTTAAAATATTTCCACCGAGGTGTAAATATTGCTATAGCGGAGAGAATTATTTTCACTGAGGTATAAATATTCATACCACGCAGAAAAAATTAAATATTTTGTATGATGTTATTCCGACAAGACGTCGTAACAAATCGTTTGATTTATTTCCACCGAGGTGTAATATCTATACTGTGTAGAAAAATATTTTCACTGCATTTTAAATATTTTCACTGGGTCATAAATAATAACGCCGCGAAGAAGTGTGCCAGTGAAAATGTCGGAACTTCGAAATGAAGCAAGAAAATGAAAGTGAAAGTGTGGGAATTTCAAATTGGTCAATGACGACCGTATCCATCATCTTAAACAAATGGCCACAGCTCTAGGTGGTCTGATCAGCTGGTGTATAAAAGTGAATATGCGAATATAATAGAGACATCCGATTGAATATATTTACGTAAATTAAAGCATTTTCATGCAGTGTCAGCCTTGTCAACATGCTGGTATTTACTGGAACCCGCGGAGAATTTCTATTATTTTATTTGATGTTATTCCGACGAGTAGCCGTAATAAATATTTGGATCGCCGTCTGCTATCCTCCTAAGTCGATTCGAGTAAAATAGCCACTGTGCTAGGTGGTCTGATGAAAAAGATTTGCGTGATTCTTACTCACTGTTTACTCTCTGTATACACTGCACATCGACAGCCTAGTACAACATGCTTCTTGACAACAAAGGTCTAGTCTTCGCGGGTACTGTCTCAATTGGAGTCGCTATTGGTGTGGGTTATATAGCAGGTAAGTATTTAGGAAATATTTATATATCAAGAACTTCAGAGCTGCAGCTACCTAAAGCAGGGAGCTACCTAAAGTGACTCGTGATCGAACGTCTTCTCACAAGGGTGTGAGTGGGTGGTGCCTAGGTCCTTTTGCAACCCAATCAGAAAATAATAATTACCGGTATTATCAGGCACAGCAGTTTTTGTTTTGTTTTTGTTTTTTTGCATTTTGAATTGTAATATTATGTAAGGAAGCTTACAACTACCAAACAATAACATCCCATTGGATTTATGATGAACAATAGCGGACAACATTACCACTTTTACATGATTTGTCTGTTTATATTATTTGAACATTAATAAGTTCAACCACAGATTTTATAATGACTCCTATGCCAAAGTTCTTTTGATTTCTGTATTGCTTCACGATGTACAGAACAAAGCCTCCTGTCACAATGTGAAGTCTGACGGGAAATTCGGTTCAGGCATGGAGCTAAAATATGGTTCAGGTCACATATAGAGGGCAAGTGGTAATCCAAGGTCAAAGCACTGTTATGTGTTAATGCGTGGAAGTTGCCCCCTACGCATGCGTCAGATGACCATAGCTGCATTGTTTACAAACAAGTGTCTACCCATGAGCCATCGTTTGGGACTCAATTACCTTGTGCGCAGGTGACGACCCTGGTCATTTCCTTTCCGGGGGGGTGCCAGAGGAATCTGATTTCACAAAAGCAGGAAAGGACTTTGCCCCTTCCCCAAGTGAAAACTAAAACAGGGTGACCCCCATATCATCCAGAAATACAGTGGGACACCCTCCCCCCATTGTATTTTTTAGTTTACCATTTACAACACTGTCCAATCATTCTTTCTCTTTCTTTTGTTGTGGTTTTACAGGAGATATTGACATGTATCAATAATAAATGTTATTTCAAATATATCATACTAATTTTTTACTACCTTGGTATTATACATTATGATGAGCTGAGTTATTCAAACAAGAAAACTATTTTGATGCAAGCATTGGTTGTTTAATAACAATTAACGAATACAATAAACTTTTTATTTTGTGGAGAAAATAAGTTTGAATTTTGTAAGTGCTAAAAGAAAGTTCATGAAGTTGAATGTTTTTTTCAGCATATAACAACATTTATTGTCTCTCCCCCTCCCAGGCTATGAAAAAAGGCACCCCCACCCCACCCCCCATTGAGTGGGGCAGACACTGATTAATTAATGAATTGTTTGCAATATTGAATCTGTACATTCTACACATAAAAATGTAATATATATATATATATATATAGTTGGGGAATTTGAATTTTAATATTTTTGTACAATGGACAAATGCGTCTTTCCCAACGTTCACACTGTTAAAATGTTTACAATAGTCGCAGAGTCCTTGGTTTCTGCTAATGTTGATTGTGAGTTGAACAGTGACAATAGTTATTTATTGACTTATATATCTAGTGCAAAAAATTTAAATATTTTGCTTCTCCAGAATAGATTTAAACTGGCAATGAATCACAGTTTAGATGAATTTGTTCTACCATATTGCCATTCTGACTTTTTTGAATTCTGCATGTGCCCCCTTTGTGACCCTGTATTCCCTGTACTCCGCAGCCTATATCACACCTTAAGTCAGAAATGTGTATAAATTAAAAAATTCATTAATTATGGCCAACCAAATGCAAACATACTGTAAAACATGTTGAAAAAGCAGCATGCAATTTTATTTGTGGTAAAATGACGTATTAATAGAGAAATGTTGATTTAGCGAATCTCTCTTGTTATTGTTGATTTCTTTGTTTGGCGGCCATTTTGAATTGATAATAAAGTCATTAGCGACATCTTGAATTAGCGAAACAGGTCTCATTAAATTTGTGAAAAAGACATGCTCGCGAAAAAGACATGTTTTACAGTACTGCAATATACAAGCTCTTACATTGGCTGGCTATACATTCTTCTTTAGTTTGACTAAATCATAATATTCAAATTATACAATCTTGTGACAAGAAATGTGCGCAATTGTCCTCACGTTTCAGAATAATGTAGAAATAACATCATATGTATTCAGTATTGACATCCGTAACCAATCCAAGAACATAACACTTTACGATTATATATACATGTATATCGCAGCAGCGTTTTTTCTAGAAAAAAAATGCGAGATGGAGCTCTACAATTCAGCTGCGCCACCAAGTGAGGGGGATAGGGTTCTCCCTATCAGGGTGTGGAGTATTTGATAACTCTAAGTTAAAATGGAGCATTCTATGACTTCCTTGGGGTCAAAATTACTATAAGATAGGTCACAGTTGACGTCAGATGTTTTTACATATGAAACTCTTATAACCGACTTACTTACATAGCATTTCCATTGGACAAACAACTCTGATTAATACGCTATAATTGTGATTGTACCGATACCACACTGGTCTTTATAGAGAAAATGTTTTTGCACTGTTTCAGGTTATAAATATGCTGACAAGATGCGACCACCAGTGAGTGTATTCAAGGAAAGCTATTTGGCTGAAGATAACCCTATATTGAATTATGTGATTGATCATTCTCTGAGAGAACCAGTCATACTCAAAGACCTACGTGAGGTAAAGTATTTGCTGTGAATGAGTGTGTTTAATGACTAAAATAGAAGTAGTATTCAGACATATTGTCATACGTTTGCATACCACCTTTGATACTCATTCTGCATCACAAAGTCAAATCTATATGTAACCCTATACACATGTTTGTATTTATCTTTGTGTAACAAACTGTATCACCACAATATCTAATGGAACTATATGTCTATGCTGTTGTTGCTGAGTAGACTGCTTTATGGCATTGATGAGTTGTTTACTAGTATTCAGTTTTCGTACATCATTGGTATTTCAATCAATGTCCCATTTTGTTGTAGACAACAGTGAGCACATTCAGTATGAATAGAATGCTAATTGCTCCAGAAGAAGCACAGTTTTTTAGAATATTATTGAAAATGCTAGATGCCAAAAAAGTTATTGAAATTGGTAAGTATGGCACATGTTTATATTAATTGAGTTTCTCGATTTCTATAGATATATTCTAATATAGGCCTCCACATTTGTACAACTGCATAAACTCAATTCAAATGCATATGACAGTACAACTATCTGGCGACCTGTGCAGTGAGGATACTGATGATCATGGAGTGATACAAGTTAATTTGGAGAACGTAACAGTGAAAAGCACCAAGATTTTGTCATTAAGATTGCCTTGGATCAGTGTGCCCTATTAACTGACCTATTAGAGGCCACAATATTATGTTTGCGGGTTAAGACACCTGTACAGTCAAACAAATCTTACTCGTTTCTAAATAAACCAACGCTTTTGGCAATCAACATACTGACTCATCTTGATTTGTGACTCATGTGTGCGGAACACATAATTGGAATCTTTGCGGTTAGTGTGTCTGTATGTGCATGTATGTATGTATATATATATGTTCAACTGGTTTGGTTGAAGTCTGTGCATATTATATACCAAATTTACATATTAATTAGCCAATTTAAAATATTTTCACTTGTTTCTTTATTACACATAATGGGAATCTTAGTCATAATTTACAGATGTTGTTCTATGTACAATTAATACATTTTAAATAATAAACCTTACTGTGTTAACAAATTGTATTTGGCAACATGAAAAGGAGTCTGATGCCCAGTGGTGATGTTGAAACAAACCCAGATCCTGGTAATATACTAAGACCGGAATTAACAAAGAAGTCGTGTACATCAAGGTTCACTCAGATTAATGAATGCAGCTTCTTGAGCATATACATGACAAATAGTTTTGTTGCACTTGTGTACTCTGAGATTCTGAACATGGGTCAGTGGAAGTTTTTAGTTGTCAGTACAAAACTAGATTATGGGAAATCACTTTATGATGAGTTGTACCCGCAAACATGTAGATTACATATTCATTCACCTGTTTGCAGATGTTCCTTGTACTACTTTATAATCAAATAATGGTAACTGTGACATTCATGTATTGTTAATAACCATTTTCGGTTCTGAAATTGATTTTTAAAACCCACTTTCGTTTCTGAGATCTGTTTTTATTTTAAAAATGAAGATGAATTGAAACAAAAATTGGTCTTAGAAGTGAAAATGGATTCAAACATTTCGTTTTTTACTCAATTGGACCATAGAAAAAGGCCATAACCACTGTCTTATGCTTTCATGAAAGCTATAAAAACTATCTAGCAAACAAATTTGTGTATAGTCACAAATTATGAATATGTTCAAAACATATTATAAGATGCAATCGGCTTTTAAGATCAATGGCCGATATACTGCTACCTTGTTGGATCTCATTGATAACCAATGCCGAGATTTCTTTGTATATAATCAGTGAAAATTTTAAAAAGTTCTACAACGGCTTGATATAGTTTGGAGTTTTGTTGATCCTGACCATCATGTCCCAGTATGTTGGAACTCGGACTACGATTGAAACAGCATACTGCAGGCGATGCGGACAAATGCAACTTTAGACTGCTCTGTTTCATTTTTCTTATTGTATATATTGTTATACACAAAACACTAGAATGTAGGTCCTACGATACAATATTATACTCAGATGTAAATCCCATTATTTTGTGAATAACCATATATTATCCTGTAGTAAGAACTTGCTTGAATGCTATACAGTCAACAAACATGTGAAGTAGCAGTGTTTAACACCATATGGTATGTTATTTCTTACAGGCGTGTTTACCGGATACAACACTTTGAGTATGGCGCTAACATTGCCAGATGATGGCAAAGTGATTGCATGTGATGTTTGTGAAAAGTTTACTAACTTTGCAGAACAGTATTGGAGCAAATCGGAGATCAACCATAAAATTGATTTAAGATTACAACCTGCACTGAAGACTCTAGGTAGGTTTCATACATATATAAGTTTCCATATTTGCTTTAGCTTACCTTGTATTACCACTATCATATTTCATCTATCTCAGGATTTTCCCATGCATACAAGATGTTCAAAACATGAAATTTACACCACGTTATGTGGATATATGCCAGCAACAAGCTCTGTTAGTCACCGGTGCCAAAGTTGTTGAGTGTTCTTTGTTTTGTTTTTTAGAATATGTAAAATGCTATTTGAATGAGAACGTTAAAACTAGTGCATACTTTCTTTAGTTCCATTCAAACAATTATAATTCAGTCTCCAACTTGAGTCCTTTCATTTCTTTTATGTGGCTAGTGCTTCAAGTGAGACTTATGCACATGCAGTGGTTTAGCGATTTGATCCAAGATGAACAACTGGCAGCCATTTTGTTTTTTGAAAATGCGGTATCTTGGACCTCTTGGATCTTGCTTTGTCCAATTTAGTTCAAAAATGGCACATACATTATAGATATTACGATGCATGTCCATGACGATTTGTTGTGTGATTGGATGAAAGATGGCTGACTAGCAGTCATTTTGTTTTTTTTAAATGTCAGCCATATAACCATATCTATGATACTCATGTATAGTCTCATATTTTTGTCACTGTCATAATAGACACCTATATTTATTTGTAGGAATATCTTCCAAACGTTGTAATTAAATATTCATAGTCAAAAAATTCAAAATACTAACAAAAATTAATAAATATAAAAAAAAATGGAGAAGTTAATTTAGTATAACATGAGTGAGTCTGATTGCAAATTAATTCATGAATGACAAGATTTCCTCCTGAAATGCATAATACTTATACAATAGGTAACGATTATCTATTTGAGTAAACTGACACCGACACAGTTGTATATTCTCAAGGATACAATGTATGTTAGTCACTTAGTACATGTTCATGTTTGACTTCTGTTTCATTCTCATTAAAATTATAAAATGCCTAAATTTCCCGCCATGAAAACATAGTTTGAAAGAGTGTTATTGGGTAAAACCATAACAGTTAGGCTGGCTCACGCTTACAATACTGTAGACATGCACATGCAAGCTATGTAATAAATCAGATTTTTGTTGAAACTAGTTTAGTCTATTATTTCATAGAGTCTATGATTATTTGCATTCTCAATTACTGACCATACACTACAAATTCAATCAGAAACAAGTTACCTGATCACATGACCAGTGATTTGCACATCCAATTTGATTTCATATATTACTGTGGAATACTTTATTTTCGCTGGAATTAATTTTCGCTGAAAAGGCTTTTTGGGCATTTGGCTTTGAATTTATTTTCACTGATTTTTAATAAGATTAATGTAAAATAGGGAGAAAAATGTATATTCGCTGGATTTTATTTTCACGGAATCATCCCTTCAGCGAAAATAGCGAAAATAAATTCCAAACGAAAATAAAGTACTCTACAGTATACATGTAGCAGTACACGTTCATAATAATTCAATTCATAATTAGATAATAGACAACAATGGACAATGCAAAATATTAACAGTCAGAATTTAAATATATCTTGGAAAAAATTTGCCGGGATCAACAATAGAGAACAATTATTCTGCATGTCTAAATTTTAGGCGAAAAAATGTTTACAAAACAATTACAATTACAGTAAATTTATCATGGAAATAATAGCACACAACTATCAATCAGAATTTGTTGCACAGTTCTTCTAACACCCTCCGTGAGAGTTTGTAATGGTCCACCCCTAAACGCATTTAAATGTACTTAGATATGTAAAGCATTTCATTTTTTTAATAGTCTTTTTTTTAAGTACCGGTACAGGGGGGGCTATTCATATCTTATTTCTTTGAAGTTTTTATTAAAGTTTAAATTTAAATTTTTTACATATATACATACGCAGCATCTCAACAAGAAATCTGTTTGTGTGTCCAAATGATGTTATTGAAAACTGAGAATGCATATTACTGACTTTGTGAAAATTATTTCCTGGTATTCTTTTCAGATTCCTTGATTGAAGCCGGCGAAAGTGGCACATATGATTTTATATTTATTGATGCTGACAAGGATAATTATAGTAATTACTATGATAGAGCTTATACCTTATTGAGGAAAGGTGGCATAATAGCCATAGATAATGTAAGTCTAGTTCATACCATTATTTATATCTCAAAATAGTATTATTATCTTCCCAATTAAAAAAACAATCATGTTTGTCATTTTGGGGACATGGTAAAACTTTAATTACTTTTAAATTACCTTTGTTATCATGACATCATCGTCTATATGCTCTTATTGCAAAAAGTTATTGTGTTTCAATTTATATTTTGTTGTTGTTCATGATACATTGTGACAGGATAATGGTTGATATTTTAATGTTCATACAGAATCACATGACATCTCATCATAACACATGACAGATTGCAATAACATGTGCAAGTTTAGACAATGCATGTTTATTTTACATAATACTCTTGCATGTTAACCATAGGAGAGCGTCTCCTCAAACAATAACATAATGATTGTAATAATAAATGACATCAGAGCTTCACTTCATGCTTGGATATTTGACATATGTGTCATATCGCTGGGCTGATGAATTTAACACTTCTGTAGAGAAGATTCATTCATTTAGTGGTGAACGAAGAAAGGTGATAACTTCATTAATGTTATAGTCATGTAATTTAGATTTTTTTATTTTCTCGATCATTGTACACAGATGTTAGGTGTATGCTCATGCACGGCTTGTTAAGCCCCGTTCGGACACAGTCCGAAAACGAG